TTGGAAGCAGCATTGCGCATATGGGGTGTATATTTTGGCCTCATTGATCTGCAGAACCTGCTGTTGTCAGCTACGCAATCTCTTAGGTCCACATCTTCCACATGCAGTGGTGATGGTGGTTTTCGTGCCTACGGCCATGGTGTCAACACACCTGTGCACCTTCATGCCTTTGTGTCACCTCAAGAACACCTCTACAAGAGCCGTAGCGTGAGGGGCTGCACCTGACAGGCAGGCTACGTTACGTGTTGCCGTTTCCTGTTGCCGAAGCTGGATGCATCTTGGGCTCTCATTTTTGGAACGCAGAATTCATTGTCACAACAGCCCAGGCTTTTGAATGACAGGTAGCAAGCAGGTCAAGTGCCACTCCTGCGCTGAATGTACTGGCCCTTCTGCAATGGGATCATGGGACTCTGCGCTATCCTTCTTGCCCGATACTTGGTGCCATTGCGAACAAACTCTTGCCATCTGTCACTAGCAGCAGGCCATCAACACACTTGTTCATCTTCAAGCCTCATTGTGAGCATTCCGGCAGTATCCCTACAAGAGCGAAGGCATGGGGGCTGGCTGTCAAGTAATTTCCATTGCCTGTTGTCATCGCGGACCTCGAGCTTTGGCAACAGGCAATGGCCTCGTGCCGGTGAGTGCCAGGGTGAATCCTCCACCAGCTCCGAAGACACGATGGCAGATGGTAAGCTAAGGAGGCTGTCAAAGGATGCAGCTCCACTGCAGAAGCCCAATGGGCCTAATCTCTGTACGAGTAGGACTGATTTCTGATTCTGTCCTCCGGCACTTCATGGGCAAGCTTTACTCCCCTCTGGTTTTGGAGATTCCTGGGCTCTTTAGATCCCCTTATTATATTGATATGGACTATCCCTAGCTCCTTAGCTCCCCCCAAAAGTATGGGGAGCCAACCCACGCAGAACCTTGAGGATTGGTTTGGCATCTTAGAAGTGACTGGCTTCCCTATCAAGGTCATCTTTCCCCTCACTCAAGCAAGTCGCACCCAGTTTCTTATTGGTCGTTAGTTGGGAGTGGAAAGGTGAATCCGTGTAGCAGCTCCTGTACGAAATGGTAGTTTCCATCCTCTTTTCCATTCCCTATTGCTTCAATGATAATAAGCTCTTCATTTCCTGCTAACAACCAGCAAGAGGAGGGGTCAGTGGTAAACAGCACGACTTCATGTCGGGATCGAAGATAAACAGCACAAAGGCAACCAGGGGCTTGACAAAGAAGACTGTCAATTTCAACCATAAGGCTAAAGTCATATTTGTGGAGAGCGCATGGAAAGCCATGCGTAGCTGGACTGAATCATAAAAACTTTGAACCTGACCTCAACCCTCAAGCCTCCAACCCCAGAATCTATCCGTAAACTCTGAAATCCTAAACCTCTCCCCCAAACCCTGAACCCCAATCCTGAAACCCCAAACTTAGATTCCTAGCCTGACCCCTAGCCCCAAAGCGTGTTTGTGTTCAGAATCTTAAAATGAGTTACCACAAGACGGACATACAGGAAATGAAGAGGTTTTCCATTTAGTGGAAACATAGATAAGGTACCCTAGATCCGTATCTAACCCCTGTATAACCGCAGTTTCCATTTCATGTTCCATGTTCTTTTCAATTTGAGCCTCCCTTAACACTACACCCTTTATAACCACTGTATCCCTCGCCGAAAGGGATTTACAAAACCGCATGCTGCGCCCGACCAAGCTGCAGAGTCAGTGTGCCTTGCTGGTCAACGTCCAAAGCAGAGAACAAGGTCCTGGAAGATGCAGAGGTCCAGAAAGCCCAGTAAACCGCAACTAATATTTAAGGTTTTAGGGGTGTATGAGGCTTGGGGCTTGAAGGCTTTGGGGTAGTAAAAGTTTAGGACTTAGGGTTGGGTCGAGGGCTTGCGATTTTTTTCGGTTCTGGCTTCATGGTTTTAGGGCTCAGGGTCTGAGGTTGAGGGTTTTAGAGCTTCGGGTTTAGATGCGGTAGCGCTGGCAAGCAGTGGCAGAAAACGCCGGGTCGCTAACCACGAATATCCTATCCAGAGGCAGAACCCTCGTGAGGAATCTCATGCTCGAAACGGATGCCTTGGGAATGGGGCTTAGGGTAGGGCTTTGGGATAGTCAGCCTTTTGGGATTCTCACGGGATACGATCATAAGCTCCCATATGCTTCGTGCTCTCAGCATTTAAAGCAACTTTCCGCAGTCCTGGCGGATCCATCGTAGCCATACACCCGGCATGCAGCACGGAATTCCTGACTCAGTCGGCTTTGCGGATGACAACTTACTTTAAAGTTTGGTTATTTTATCATCTCATTTATAGGTTTAGGCCCCCTTCCCTAGCTCTCCTTCAGCTTCCCTCTCTTTGCATGACTTCTCCCACAGCTTAAAGCGTCACTACTCCTTAGAGCAGCAGTCCGTCTCTTCAAGCGGGAGGGATGCCCTTCTCCTTCGAAAACAAATCCCAGAAAGGCAAAGCTATCAATCTTTTTTGGGACCCTTTTCCGTCCTCTATCCATTTTAGAGCTTAGGGTTTGGAACGTGCTCAGGAATTCTGTTAGACGCTGAACCCTGTCTGTCAAAAACCTTACCAGTCCTTGAGAACCAAAACTCTACAACACCCTTGTCCAACCTCACGAGAATCACGAGAACGTGGAAGAATTCTCTATGGCTCCTGTGAAACGGCATACACACCGTTCAGATCCCCTTTACATCGGTGGCCAGTCTTGTTGTCGTTGCTCGTAGTTGCCAGACAATGTCTACGTCTACTCTGAAACCGGCACAATTCATGTTGAAGCCCACCCTAAAAAGGTAGATTCCATTTTTCCGTGGTCCCGAGAAACTCCCAATAGAACCCTAATATTGCCCCAATGGGTGACAAGGATCTCATTGATGACCTTATTGCAAACCCAGATCCCAAATTACTTACGCTCAGAGGACTTTCCATGTATCTGTATACAGTCCCATGGATCACTTGCGCAACCTTTGCCAAGAAAGGCCACTGGTACGCTCCCGTGGTTACCGTAGACTAGCGTTTACGTGGAGTTAGGCCAACCTGTAACCGTGAACTCCTAAAACCTACCCCTACCACTCCCAAATCCCTAAACTATGCTTCCGCCCCCCCCAATCCCTGACCAAGTCCTCAGCCCTTCAGCCGTAAACCTCAAACATGAGCCCTGTCAGTAATCAGTAACCCCTAAACCCGCAACCGTCATCCTTGAACCCTGACAACCTGCAACCCTAAGCCCGAAACCCGGAGCCATAAACCCAGATTGAATTCTAAAAACATGTAGACTGACGGGCTAGGTGCGTGGAAGCTGAGGCTGCCAGAGCAGTCGGAATCGAAGACGGCAAAGGCAGACTTCACTGACCCAAACTCCGAGACGCACCAGCGCCTGTGATTTTTAATCTTCAGGGCTTAGGGTTGGGAATGAGGGTTTTCTCCCTCCCGTCTGGCTGTGATGCATCAGGTTGGTTTGTTTTACCCGCATCTTACAGCTCACATCAGGGTTTAGGGCTGAGGGACCAGGGCTTAGGGTTTAAGGCTTAGGTTTGGGGGTTTAGGTTTTGAGGGAAATGGCGGAAGGTTTTTGGGGGTACAGGGTATAAGGTTTCAAGGTTGCAAAAGATGCTTCTTGCAACTTGCACAGCAGGGGAGCACAAGGTGCGATTTTGGATGTTCCGGTCAGGGTCAGACCTCTCAGCACATCTCCAACCTGAAGCCCTCTTCCTACATCCAATTACAGGGTAACCCCTTGACTCCTGACCCCTATATCTAACCCTATATAACACTATATAATCCCAAATGACCCTGTACAACCCTATACAACACTATAAAACCCTATATAAACCTGTATAATCCCTTTATAATCCCCAGACGCAAACCCGCAAATCCAAAGACCCAAAGCGCTCAACAGAAAAAAGCTTCAGTGGAGCCTGAAGTTTGACAAGACCATGTCCGACTCTTCATCGATCTGGCGGAGCGATATGTAGCCCGACCTGCATGGACCCTAGCAAACTATAGAGTTCAGAGCTTATTGGGGTGTACGTTAGGATACGTTAGGGTCCGTTCTACGTATAGTGAGTCTAGCTATGCCAAGCAGGAGCAATTGAGCCACCAACCTTAACCTGAGGGTCAAGGGACCTTAGTAAGTAGCTTAATGTCGGTGATAAATGATTTCTAATCTTTTTCAGCTGCCCCGTTTCAAGGGCCCGAGTCCAAACCACAGACGGAGCTGATGAAGCAGCAAGGATCCAGTTGAGGATCGCGCAAATCATCATCAAAGGCTCGCCACGCCCCGGCAATATCACCTTCCAGATTGCTGTTGTACCGTTAGTACGACAAATCAAAGTTTATCTTTCTCTGCCTGCTTGCAACAGGACTGTGAGCCACCGTTCCAGATATGGACGAGAGGGCACAATGGCATTGACAAACATACAACCTGTCACGCAGCATGCATAGCAAATCAGAACTGCACTATCTACACACCTGATCTTGACGGCGACGGCTGGCAAAATTACGCTCGCTCGATGCCTTCTACTCTGAGAAATATGATGACAGTCTCGTGCCGCCTGGATATGCCAGCTTGGCAACCATGCATAGAAAATGCTTCCGGTGCTTGACGTTTGTAACCCTGAACCCTAGACCCTAAACCCCAGGGCTGCGCTGCAAGCGCCCGTGAGTCAAAGCTTGCAGTCCCAGCCACCCTGGTAGCCCAAGACGTGACATGCATCCTTGAACTCGTACCAGTTGCAACCTCGTGGGTTTAGGGTTGATGGTTTAGGGTTGAAGGCTTAGGGTTTAGGGTTTAAGGTTGAAGGTTTAGGGTTTGGAAACGCGCATCGCTCCAAGCAGGCAGGGTTTAAGGTTTAGGGTGTAGGGGTACGATGCAAAGCCGAGGCTGATTCTCCACCTTTAGGGTAAAAATCATTCATAAACCCTATACAATCCCTAGGCCCCTAGTACTAATGTTGGGGGGGTACCGTATTGGGGGGATGATATGGGCAGTTGTCAAAATTATGATCCCTTTTTGGGTACCCTAAATATTAGGTGCCGTAGTATAATAGGGACCCAAAAAGGGACCATAATTTTGACAACCACCCATATGTACTTGGGAATTATGAGCCCTAAACACTAAACCCTAAACCCTAAACCGTGGAATTATGGGGCTTCTTGGAGGCTTCTCGGAAGCAGAGGCAGCTGCGATTTGTTGCATCCTTGTCCAGGAGGCGACGCCTGAGAAACGCTGAAAGACATTGTCATGGTAACTGCTATTATGGTTTAGGGTTTAGGGTTTAGGGCTGTCAATTTTTTAGGGCTATTACTAATCGAAGTGTCCTGGTGTTGGTGTGCTGATGTACACGCTGGGGATCACACCATGCTTTCATGTACTGCCCCGTCCGCACGAGGATCAGCTTCTTGATTTCCGCCATGGCCTGCAATCAACACCACGGCAGCTGAAGTAATCCCATCTGCCTGATTTAAAACACCTCTGACTCCCTAATTCCTGAATAAGGGGTGGGAGATTGGAAAGGAGATCAGCAAATACCCCGTTCTCGGTCATCCACTGGCAAGAATTTGTAGCAGCAGCGCACGAGCACCTTGAAATTCGGGGCGACCAACAAGAAAGGCAAAGGGCTCCAGCTGTCCAGGAAGAGCAGATCATCAATGACCTGGGCACATGACCCAAAAGCAGCAGATTCAACGGCCCGAAGCTCGGACTTCTCGACCAAACTTGGTCAAGCATGGATCTTGAAAAACTATAATAATAATAATAACAATAGTAATAAAAATAGTAATAAAAATAGTAATAGTAGTAATAATAATAATAATAGTAATAGTAACAGTAATAATAATAGTAGTAATATGGCGGGACTCAGCGCTCCACAATCCTGCTGCTCCCATCTTTGTCCAGATGGCTAAAGAGCTGCTTGGTCGGGCGTTGAAAGCCAAATCTCTGAAGGGCAGCCGTAAACTCCGCGTTCGTGATGAAGCGGGTGTGATCCGAATCAATGGCGTTGAAGGCTTCCCGCACTCCCCCAAATTGGGAGTGAACCCAAACCTGCAGCAACATGTCTCTTGGTACGACGAACCACCACTCAGTGCTCTCCCAAAGCAAGCAAGCCATGACACATTGAGTTGCTTTCGCAAACACAAGACCTGCAACGAAAGAAAATCTCTCACACGCTCATGGGATTCTACTTTGGGTACTGCCCCCAGCCTGTAAAAGTCTATATTAAGGGTCCTATTAAGGGGCTATATATAACCATATTATAGTTATTATACTCCACTAATCGCGCCTTGAAGTGGGCCAGGACTTCCGCACTCCTTGGGTCTAGCTCATCTATAGAGGCGGAGCCACTGTCATCTTTGTCCAGAGACCTCACCGAATGTCTGAGGCTCTGTGTGTTGGCTTAGGATTCAAGATTTGGGTGGGGACCAAATCAAAATTTTGAGATCTTGTGGGGGGTTTCGGAACTAGGGGTACCTAGGGCACCCGAGGGGTATGTGAGGAGAAAAGGGCAGGTTCGGGGAAGTCCATGTTGACGGTTGGGGATTCTATAAGCATTATTTTAAAAACTCCTGCTCCTCAAACCTGACAGGGTTTTAGGTTAGGGTTTAAGCACGCGCATCACACTCAAGCAGGGTTTAGGGTTTAGCGTTTGGGGTTGAGGGTTTCTAGTTTAGGGTTTAGGGTACGCGTTCCAACCATGGCTCACTCATTCGCACACCTTTTGCCTAGCACCAAGCAAAGAAACCTCCACAACGTGAACAGATTCGTTCGAAAGAACTTCCTACCCTCCTACACTGACATAGCTGAGGATAGTGACCTAAACGTTACAACCACAGTGAAGTGCTTGGTCCTAAAGGCGCTACAGCATGGCCGGGTATTCGCAGATCCACACTCCCCCAATCCGCTTCAGAGGAGAGCGGATTCAGCACAGGGCTGCGAAATACCCACGCGGGTTTAGGACCTAGGAAACCTAAGAACCTAGCAGTCTAAGAACCAGACACTAACCTATATAAGGTAGCCTCACATTGAGAGCCCGATCTTAGATCAGGTACTACCTAGAACCAACTACACAACGTCAACTCTATAAACCAGACAAGCAAAGCTAGTGAGGATCCAAGATTGTCGGTGCAAGCTTTGCACCGTTTTCAGGGACTGGACCCATTCGATTGATTTCTCCCCAAAGGTTGACAGCCTACTGGCCTGCGTATCTCGCAAAGGAGAGTCATAATGGCTCCCAAACAACAACAAATCAGTGAACTAAGAAATGGTAAGCCAAGGGTGCACACGGGAACCCCATCCACGAAGAGAATTGGTGGAGACATAAAGCACCACTTTACGTTAGTCTATCCCTTTACGCCCACAGGCTCATAGGGTGATCAGTGAAAAATGGAAAGAGTGATCTTCTTTAGGAATTTCTGTCTTACCTCGGCACAGGCCAAATCAGCGTGCACCAGCTGGGCTGCATGCGAAACTGCTTCGGGATGGGCACCCAGTGAGTGAATGCCCGACAAAGTCCAACTACGGTATGGGACTGAAGTTGAAGCTCGGTCAACACTTCCTCACATGTGGTGCCTATCGGATAGGGACGAAGTTGCATGCGAAGGTTCATCAGCATCGGTACATTTTCACCCGATCTTTGAACAAATATCCGGGCAACCCGAAGCGGATCACACCTTTGGCAATTGGTTTCGGATCCCTGGGGGGACTCCAACCCAATGGGAGAGGTTCTCCCTGCTTATAGTTTGATCCATAGCTCACGGGTAGGGCATGGTCCGCCTCAGGACTTGCACCGACAGAGTCTGAGGTCTTGGGCGCCGAGAGATCTGATCTGGCGGCTTGCTGAAAGTCGTCTGACCCAGGGATCGAGCCCTCTACCCCTTCGCATCCCCTTTCATCAGCTTCATGGCCACCGCTTGCGGAACCAGCCTGAATAGGAGCAACGCCAGTAGCTCTGACCTCGATGGGTTGAGTTTTCTCCTTTCCGGTGGACTCAGGTCTAGTGCTTGTATCCTCAGATCCTTCAGGGACGGCAGGTTCAGGACTACCTACTGGGGTTAATGAGACCTTAGGGCCAGCAGGTTCAGGACTACCTAGCGGAGTTGCGCGAACCTTAGGGTTGGCGGTAGTCGAAGTTTGGGGATGGGGGTGCTTACGCCCAATCCTGGAATCTTTAAGGTTTAGTTCTTCCGCTTCCTGTAATAGGACAGATCAAGATGGCAGAACGAGTCAAGGTCAGTCGTTGTCGGGTGCCACATCGCAGGATGTCTCTAATCTCGAGTTTTCTGGGTTTAGCATTTTCCGATATCGCGCAGGTCAAGGTGTCACAGACACGGCTCATGTCCAAGGTGCCAAGCTGCGCGAGTCCTCAAACCCTAGTCCCATAAGGTTTAGTCCTCCTTCCCGTGTGAGTATAAGTGCTATGTATGTAACCTTGGATCCCTTAGGTCATCAGCAACCTGCGGGCGAATCAGCTCAGGCGTCATGTGTGGAAGGTCGTAGGTATTACACCCAGGTTATTGCAAGCTCCCAACGTCCTTCCCAGGGCTAGAAAAGAAGGTTTGCGAGAGGCAAACTCCTCCCACATTGAAGCTAAAGAAGCATCAGCACAGAGTGTAGTGCCTCGTCCAGCGCAGGCATTTCTGTGTGGACCATTAGCGCCAGGACTCGTGGTTTCAGCTGCAACTTGGCTTTCACACAACGTGAGAACTCAGGCAGCCGAAATGAGTCACGAAGGTCCCCCATGTCTCACGCCAGGGGTTACAGGTGCCAATAAGGATCAGCCAGGTTCCGTGTGTCACATCCAAAGCCCACAGGGGAATGCCGTAGCTTCAGCAGGGGGTAATAAGGATCACCCAGGTTCAGTGCATCGCATCCAAAGCCCAGGCGAATGTCGTCGAGGCGCAATCACTTGCTGAAGGTCCTCAGGCATCTGCCATAGTTGTGCAAATAGGTGACGCGAATAGCGGCGATGCTCATAAGGAGCAAGCAAGCGCTCAGTGCATCGTGCAAAGCCCAGGTGCGACAGGTGACCGAGGTGCATTAGGCCCTAGAGGCCCTAGAGAAGGTAACCTGAATGTCCTTCTAGAGAATCTTAGGATTAGTCAGCAAATCGTGTCCCTGTTGGGGGGAGTAGATGCAAGCTTCTGTTATCTGGGTATCTCCTCCATTGTGACAATGTTCCGGGTCGCCTGGGGAATCAGATGGTGGACATCCCAAGGTTCAAAGGCGCAAGTGCGAGGTGCAACTTCGTGTTCCCTGCCAAGTCCTGGATTAAGTTGGGTATCGGGGAGACCTGAGCCCTTCGATCATGAGGGGCAAGCGGCTTCTGAATCCTTGAGCAATATCCCTTTCGCAGAGCTAACTGACGACTCTTCCAAGACATCTGAAGATCACCATAAGCCAGATGATCCGGCGCAACCATCCCTTTGCAGTCAACTGGTGTGGTTTACCCTCTTGAAGGAGGGCCGCCTCCGTGCGTATGCGGAGGGACAGGGAGTATGCTCATTGTTAAACTGCAGTGAGGGACTGAATACCCTAGGATGGGGCTTGGGGGTCTCTTCCCAGTTCAATATGGATAGCCAACTTGTCTCCGGTTCTGATTCGCAGGTGTCTCCACCACTGCAGTCACCTCAGAGGTCAAAGAAAGTTCCGAAGACCGCGCCAAAGGCACCGGTTGTTCCACAGAGCACTGGTATCACATGCCCTCATTTTGCTAAAGGTTTTTGCCGGTACGGTAATATCTGTAAGTTCTTGCACCAGGACGGGTCTGAATCCTCGGTGCCGGTGAAAGATACAGTCAGCCCGGAACCAACAGAAGTGGTTTGTAAGCACTTCGCCGCTGGATGGTGCTGCCGGGGAGACCAGTGCAAGTTTGCCCACAACAGTGCAAGCTCTAACTCCTGGGAGACCCCAGCTGGGTCTGGGGAAGGAAGACGTGTGAGGCATCAGCCTCTAGCAGAGGATAAGAAGGAGCAGCTGCGACAGGCAGGCCTATTAGATGTCTGTTTTAGATGGGCCCAGGGTTACTGCGATAACGCAAGCTGTAGATTTTCCCACAGGCACATCAATGCGTGGGAAAGCAGGTTGTTCAAGGAACTGCTCGACTGCAACGAGGCCTCGCCCAAAGCACTGCCAAGGGAAGATGTTAGCGCTCCCTGAGTGTCTCCTGAGCAAACGTCGCCGCTTCAGCCTGAGTCCGGGTCAGCTTGGAGTGAGTCAGGTGTACTTCCAACGCCCATGCCGTTGCTGCAGCCGGAGCCTTCGTCAGCCTGGAATGATCCAGGAGGCCCTTCAACGTCTAGGCCGTTGCTTGTGCTCAAGTTGTTTTGCTAGCCGATAACTCTTGTAAACTGGCGGCTTCGAGACCTCCGTCATTCCGTAGAGGGGTCAAGGTAGAATCGTCTGGATCTACTATTCTTAGACATAAGCTGGGAGACTGCAGGGGTCGCGGTACCATCGACATCTCTAAGGAAAGCTCAGCTCGGAGAGTTCACGAGCAACCATGTGTGTATGCCATACCGACTACAAAATCGGTAACCTCTTGGGGAAGTGGCCAGAGTACGAAAACCCTGAAGCGCCACATAAATTCTGGTGGAAATTCACGCCGACCGGCAACCCCAGCGGGACCAAAGAGTGCCTCTAGGTTCCCGCAATCCTCTTATGTCTTGAATCCTCCGGGAACGCGACCTAAACCGGCTACTACCTTCCCTAATAAGGACTTCACGATTCCAATAAAGGATGGGTCATGGAAGCAGTCAGTGTTTAGAAGGGCTTGGGCGGACATGTCAGATTCCTCGGAGGAGGAGTCGCTGGCTTGTGAGATGCCTCCTCTACTCCCGGAGGCAGCATCCAGCTCAGATCGGAAAACGCTCACGGGGCTCTCCAGGCGTGCCTATGGAAAGCTTCGGCGGTATGCCTTCTGGAAAGTTCGTAAGGGGCATGGCCAACGGCGCCCTAAGGATCCAAACTCTCGCAGCGCGTCTTCCTCCGACTCGCAAAGTGTTGCTCCTTGCTATGACTCTTTAAGCCTGCTGAGCTTCGTAGATGAGTCTGCCCATCAGGACGGCAACGGCACGGGGGAGGACAACCGCACTCCTGGCAATGCAGCCGAGAGTGGGACTCAAGGCCAAGTGTGGGGGGAGCCCCAGGATAATGCAGCTGTAAGCAGGTGTATCCTCAGGGCTGTGTGGTCACGAGTGGCCGTCCGAGGCATTGGATCCTCAATTCCCTCACAGCCTAGTCGTCTTGCCAACCCTCTGCAGCACACTCCCAGAAATTGCCGGAATCCCATGGTTTCCCCTACGCAGACGGCGCGCGTTTGCGCGCGTGGCCGATCCCTTACCCCTAAGCCTTTGACCAGTACTCCCAA